TATGCCTACGCCAGCAGTGAAAAGATGTAAAATAAGTAAATAAAAACGATGAAAAGACTGCGTTTCCTATTTTCTTTTCTTGATCCCCTGGAAACAACTCATTTGAAGAATTCGTTCCATTTGACCGCGCCTTCGCCATCTACTTTCGCTCCAGAAATAAGGGAACAGAAAGAATAAGAAATAGGTTCATCAGCCACGATCGATTCATCACTGAGAAATTTGTGTGAAAAAAGGCCTTATACATATATATCTTTATCAATGGATTACATCGTACGCATTTGAAAGATATATATATATATATATGAGACCTTCTTTTACAGGATTTCCTCAGTAATGAATTGATCCAGGCAGATGAACGCAAAGACCATGCTCAGTTCCCTTTCTCCATAGTGAATGTTCACATATTCACTTTACAAAAATTCGTTTAAAATTAAGTTAAAGTTAAATTTATCAGTCTCATGAACATCTCACTTCAAAGTGAAAAAGTGGGTCTATCATGTGCACACGTAGTATTCGAATAGCCTTCCGTAAAACCTCTTTGAGGTAGAAAGTCTTGAAACATTTAGACAAACAACCTGTGTAGAGATTTTTAGTTTTAGCGTTTCTTGTTAAAGCTTTTAGTTGATTATTTTCCTTGTCTTTCAGTTGTAGTACTCGGCCAGCTCTACAAAATGCATACAAAAATGTACTTATGATAAAAGAACTTTTTTGTTTTGTTCTACATTGACAACAGGTAACACACTGAGTGCTAGTTTTTCATCTTCAGCCGTTTTGCGACAGCTGTTCCATCTCTGTAAGAGTCGTTTATAATCCCAGTATTTGCAGTACTCCAGTTGCTCTTTCGTCTAATATATTCAACGTTGTGGTAAACTCCGTGGGTACAGAGAAAAATATATAATATAATATAATCCATTAGAAGGACGTACAGAAAAGACATGTAGAATGTGATTTTTGAAGTAGAATGGCAGCATCATTGGAAAAAATCTTGTTGGACTCTTTTGTCAATCTGACCTAAGATCTTGTTGGAGAGTGTCTCGATACGAATTTTTTTCTAGTGGAAGAAAGAAAAGAAATCCAGAAGTAAAAAGACGCCCGAAAGGGGGGGGGCGCTAGAATTCAGGACCTTGAGGTTAAAAGCCGCACGCTCTACCGACTGAGAACTATCCGGGCATTAGAGTTCATTAGTATAATGAGGAATAAGAATAAAAAGATCAAGATTGTCGGTCTTTTTAAAACGCTAATGGTATATTATTTAGGTTCATAATGAAAAAACCGTGTTCTAATATCTCAACGAAAGAGCTCTCGAATATATATTAGTATTTTTGAAAGTGTAGAACTCAATATTTTTTGTCCCAACTATAAGTTCTCTAGAAGCTAATCCCATGAGGTGTAAAGCATTTTGACTAACATAATACCATGTGTATACTAGACTAAATTCTTTGTATTAATCTGTGTCATCAAAATTAATAAAAATCGGTTCAAAATAAATTTATTTATCAAAAATCTATGTCTTGCTCCAAATCGTTGACAAATTCCATGCATTTATGCTATTAATAATCACTTTTTGCTCTTCTTCTGTATTTGTATACACCCCCATATAATACGCCTGTGGATTTTCTGGATAGACTCGTGCTGTCATTGCCAGTCGTCCGTGCTGTTCAAATATTTCTATAACAGAATGATCAATAAATATATTCAATGTTAAAAACCATTTATCTTCATTAATATTCAAATAGTTTTCATGTGTTTTAAACCATATAGAACCAAAGTAGGGTGAATGTTCTGCTTCAGGATCGGTTGACGACTGTGTTCGATCAATATAAATCCAAACTAGTTGTTCATCTTGTGCATTTAACACTTTCACACCTGATGTACATTGTGTGG